AGAGAGGCCAGTGAGGAGGCTACTGTATATCTCTGAGCAAGATATGGTTGTGGCTCAGACAAGGACAGAAGCAGTGGCCATGGGGAACAGTGGACACATTTGAGAGTGAATTAAATATAGGCTTTTGTGTCCTGATGTCAGCTTGGGGTCAGGAGGCTGGTTCCTTTGTCTGCTGGGGCTCCTCTCTCACCTCTCCTGCTCCTTCCCCCTTAGGTGTGTCAAATGTGTCAACAAATACTCCACCCCTGAAGCCCTGGAGCACCACCTGCAGACCACCACTCACAACTTCCCCTGCCTGCACTGCCAGAAGGTGGGTGCCACTGGCCATAGAGGGGCAAGGAGGTAGTAGGTGAACCCCTTGCCCTTCCCTTCTCCCCTCCTATCTCAGCACATGCAGGTCAGGCTCTAGGACATCTCCATTGATGACACTATCTCTTTGAAGAGTAAGAGCCCTGCTGCTTGTCCCAGCTGTCACACTCCAGGTGTGGCCATGAGGGGCTGCTGCTGAGACAGGCCAGGACAGGCCCATGTGGGCTGAGGCCTCTCCTGGGGCCAGGCCTAGCCTCTGAGCAGCTGCCTCCTAGCTTTCCAATGGGTTTTTTTTTTTGTTTTTTTTTTTGAGACAGAGTCTCGCTTTGTTGCCCAGGCTAGAGTGAGTGCCGTGGCGTCAGCCTAGCTCACAGCAACCTCAAACTCCTGGGCTCGAGTGAAACTTCACCCTCACCCTCCCGGGTAGCTGGGACTACAGGCATGCGCCACCATGCCCGGCTAATTTTTTATATATATATCAGTTGGCCAATTAATTTCTTTCTATTTATAGTAGAGACGGGGTCTCACTCTTGCTCAGGCTGGTTTCGAACTCCTGACCTTGAGCAATCCGCCCGCCTCGGCCTCCCAAGAGCTAGGATTACAGGCGTGAGCCACAGCGCCCGGCCTCCAATGGGTTTTTATCCTTGTTATTAGTGAGTCTGGAAGCCCCCACTGAAGTGTTCCTAATATATATCATCAAATATTCAGGAAGTGTTCCAATTTCCAGGTGTCTCGAAGGATCATCACTTTTGGAAAGTTTTTTTGAATCAGGTCTATACATTGCTATTGATTGATACAACATAAGTTTCTTTTCTTTCTTTTTTTTTTTTTTTTGAGACATAGTCTCAGCTCTGTTGCCCAAGCTAGAGTGCTGTGGCGTCAGCCTAGCTCACAGCAACCTCAAACTCCTGGGCTCAAGTGATCCTCCTGCCTCAGCCTCCTGAGTAGCTGGGACTACAGGCATGCGCCACCATGCCCAGCTAATTTTTTCTATTTTTAGTAGAGATGGGGTTTTGCTTTTACTCAGGCTGGTGTCAAACTCCTGAGCTCAAGTGATCCTCCTATCTCGGCCTCCCAGAGTGCTGGGATTATAGGCGTGAGCCATTGCACCCAGCCCATAAATTTCTATTAATCTGCAGTTTCCTTGACCATTGCTCCATTTTTTTTCTTCCATTTGTTGAAAAAACTGAGCCATTGGTCCTGTGGAGTTTCCCACAGCCTGGATTTTGCTGGTTATATCCCCTTAGTATGTTTCACTTGCTTCTTCAATCTGTTCATTGTCTTACAACCTTACATGGCATGTTTTCCAGGACAGCCCTGGTTTCACTTTGGTCTTCTAGATGTTTCTAATTATATAGCCTAATTTTGAACTTGGAATTTGTGATCCAAGTAAAAGATATCATGAATTGAGCAAGAATCACTGTTCTGAGCATTTTGCCTGAATCAACTCATTTATCCTATTATTATCCCCATTTTACAGATGGAGAAACTGAGGCACAGAAAGATCAGCTAGGAAATGATGGGGCCAATAAGTAGTGGGGCAAGTAGGGTCTGTGCCCTTGACTTCTGCTCTACCAAATGAATGAATGAATGAATGGATTGGAAAGAGATTTTGGTTTCTGTGTTTCCTGCTTTTTATTACCTTTGCATTAATTTCTTTAGTTATCTGTCCATTTTCATTCATTCCTTTACTTGTTAGTCATTTGACTCAGGCCCTGTGCTGGGGAGTGAAAGCTCCGCTCTGCCCTCTTAGAGCTCCCGTGTAAGCAAAGCGTTGTCATCCAGTGGGTGAAATGCTGACCGGAAAGTGTGGGTGGACAGCGGCAGAATTTGCTTTGCCTAGCATGGCACCAAGGAGTCAGAGAAGGCTTCAGAGAAGCAGTGACACTGAGTTGGGTCTTGAAGTTGAGGTCAGAGTAAGAGAGAAAGGCCCTCTGGGTGGGAAGAACATCCTGGGCAGAAGCGCAGGCACATTTGAGCTGGACTCGTGGGTCAGCAGCGGGAGCCATGAAGTTCTAAGGGCCGAGTCTGACACTGTGGGCCCTCGCTTCTGCTAGGCAGAAGGGGAGGTGTCTCCACAGGGGCCGGGAACGACGGGCCTTTTGAGCTGAGCTCAGAGGATGGCAAGGGAAGAGGGGCCTGGTGAACCAGACTTGAAACCCACACTCTCTTCTTCCAGGTGTTTCCTTGTGAACGCTACCTGCGGCGTCACCTGCCCACCCACGGCAATGGGGGCAGGTTCAAGTGCCAGGTATGCAAGAAGTTCTTCCTGCGGAAGCACTACCTCAAACTGCACGCTCACATCCACTCAGGTGGGTGCCCTGCCCTCCACCAACTCCTGCCCAGCCCCCTTCCCTTCCCCTCCCTCTCCCCCTCTCCCTCAGACCGTTCCCCACGGGGCAGCTGTAACACACAAATGATCAGCACATTCCCTGCGCCAAACTTCTCAGTATTTTCTGTTTTGTCCTATTCAGTTTTAGTTTTTAAAATAACCACCAACAGGTTGTGACTTGTAGTTTACAGTTGGCAAAAATCCTCCTAATTCCCTTCTGCAAAAGTAACTGCTATTAGTGGTCTAGTCTGGGCTATTCTGGTTTAATTTTATATCTGTATAGCACACTTGCTTACTTTTATAAAAGTAGGCACATAATATAACGTACGTGCCCTTTTTTCTTATCAATATACCTTATTCTGTAACAGCACCTGCTTTTTCACAGCTGTATAGCGGTCTTCTGTGGACTTTTTGTCTGATATTTAGCCAGCTCTCTAGGGACGAACCCTTAAGTCATTTTTCAGCTATTAGTTTGCACACACAATGTAGTGTGGGTCCCTTGGTGAGCTTTTCGGAGTATATTTGTAGTGTATGTTCTTAGTGGAAATGCTGAGTTAAAATGAATGTGCAAGCCGGGCGTGGTGGCTCACGCCTGTAATCCTAGCACTCTGGGAGGCTGAGGCGGGCCGATTGCTCGAGGTCAGGAGTTCAAAACCAGCCTGAGCGAGACCCTGTCTCTACTAAAAATAGAAAGAAATTAATTGACCAACTAAAAATATATATACAAAAAATTAGCCGGGCATGGTGGTGCATGCCTGTAGTCCCAGCTACTTGGGAGGCTGAGGCAGGAGGATTGCTTGAGCCCAGGAGTTTGAGGTTGCTGTGAGCTAGGCTGACGCCACGGCACTCACTCTAGCCAGGGCAACAAAGGAGACTCTGTCTCAAAAAAAAATGAATGTGCAGCACTGCATTTCAGTTAGGGATGGTGAAAAGTTCTAGAGATGAATGATGGTGGTGGTTGCACAACAGTGCAAATGTACTTAATGCCACTGAACTGTACACTTAAAGATGGCTAAAAAGGTAAATTTTATATTACATATATTTTGGCACAATAAAAAAGAGGATGAGCGTGGTAGCTCACACCTGTTATCCCAACACTTTAGGAGGCAGAGGTGGGAGGATCACTTGAGACCAGGAGTTCAAGATCAGCTTGGGCAACATAGCAAGATCCCATCTCTACAAAAAACTTAAAAAATTAGCCAGGTGTGGTGGTGTGCGCCTGTAGTCCCAGCTACTCAGGAGGCTGAGGCAGGAGGATGGCTTGAGCCCAGGAGTTTGAGGTTGCAGCGAGCTATGATCAGGCCTGGCTTGCACTCTAGCCTGGGCGACAGATGAGAGACCCTATCTCTTAAAAAAAAAAGAAAGAAAAAGAAGTTAATTTTGGTAGATATTACCAAATTGCTCTCTTTATGGTTCTTAAAATTATTATTCAAAAGTAATATGTGCTTTTTTTAATTCTTTTTTTTTTCTTTGAGACAGAGTCTCACTCTGTTGCCCGGGCTAGAGTGCTGTGGCATCAGTATAGCTCACAGCAACCTCAAACTCCTGGGCTCAAGCAATCCTACTGCCTCAGCCTCCCGAGTAGCTGAGACTACAGGCATGCGCCATCATGCCCGGCTAATTTTTTGTATATATATTTTTAGTTGGTCAATTAATTTATTTATATTTTTAGTAGAGACGGGGTCTCGCTCAGGCTGGTTTTGAACTCCTGACCTCGAGCAATCCACCTGCCGCGGCCTCCCAGAGTGCTAGGATTACAGGTGTGAGCCACCACGCCTGGCCAAAAAAAGAAAAAAAAAAAAAGTAATATGTGCTTATAAACATGGGAGCACCATAAAAGTACATAGAGTAAAATGTTAAATTCCTCCTTCAAATCCTAATTGCTACTGCCAATTTGGTGTGTTTCCCTCCCCCACACCCTTCTCCCTGCAGGTTCAATATATATACAGACACACACGGCTAGGGCATTTGGTGGTGTGGGATTGTATTTTTTCTAACAAAAATGGGACTGTGTTAAGCTGTTCTACAGCTTTCTTTCTCTCCTGGCGATATGTCTGGGAGGTTTGTCCAGATCAGGAAACACAGATTGACCTTAATCTTTTTTTTTTTTTTTTTTTAGACAGAGTCTCGCTTTGTTGCCCAAGCTAGAGTAAGTGCTGTGGCGTCAGCCTAGCTCACAGCAACCTCAAACTCCTGGGCTCAAGCAATCCTACTGCCTCAGCCTCCTGAGTAGCTGAGACTACAGGCATGCGCCATCATGCCCGGCTAATTTTTTGTATATCTATTTCTAGTAGAGACAGGTCTCACTTGCTCAGGCTGGTTTCGAACTCCTGACCTCGAGCAATCCGCCCGCCTCGGCCTCCCAGAGTGCTAGGATTACAGGCATGAGCCACCGCGCCCGACTGACCTTAATCTTTTTAATGACTGCAGAGCATTCCATTGTAAGGACCAGAATTTCCAAATCAACTGGGTTGGCATTTTTCAAAAGTACCTTATTAATTCCAGAGGGAGAATAGACAGGAAATAATGGCAGGAAATTAATAACAGCCCAGGAACAGCCCTTTTCCAAAGGGCAGATTGTGACCAAAAGGAGCTTTGTAGGCAACTCCCTTGATTTCCTGTGGGCTCCTCAGGTAACCCCTGACACCCATTGGGTGACAGCTGCCCTTCCTCCCCCATACTCTTCCTTGTCCCCAGGTGGGTTTAGCAGTAGGGAGATCTGGGGTAGCTTAGGCGGGCTCTGGATCACACTGCCGGGCTGGAATCTTAGGTGTAGGCCACGAGCCAGTCAGTTCACCTCCCTGAACTTCAGTCTTCTCGTCTATAAAATGGGGGTAATGTTGGTATTACTACTTACCTCATGGTTTGTTGCAAGGGTTCCGTTAGATAAGGTGAGATTCCTCCTCCCCCATGGTGTGCCCCATTGCAGTAAATGCCACGACCGTCCACACTGCTCCTGAGGCTGCACGTCACACTCACCCTTGACTCCTCTCTTCTTCGTACACCCCACGGCCAATCCATGGGCAAGGGCTGCCCATTCCACTCTCCCAGTGGAGCCCGTCTAGACCACTTCCCTCTCTGTCGCACTGTCCTCCACCCTCACCCTTGTCGGTCTGTCCTCCACAGGCAGCCAGAGGGAGCCTGTTAAAACCTTGAGTCAGGCCGGGCGCGGTGGCTCACGCCTGTAATCCTAGCTCTCTGGGAGGCCGAGGCGGGCGGATTGCTCGAGGTGGGGAGTTCGAAACCAGCCTGAGCAAGAGCGAGACCCCGTCTCTACTATAAATAGAAAGAAACTAATTGGCCAACTAATATATATAGAAAAAATTAGCCGGGCATGGTGGCTCATGCCTGTAGTCCCAGCTACTTGGGAGGCTGAGGCAGAAGGATTGCTTGAGCCCAGGAGTTTGAGGTTGCTGTGAGCTAGGCTGACACCATGGCACTCACTCTAGCCTGGGCAACAAAGCGAGACTCTGTCTCAAAACAAAACAAAACAAAAAAAAAAACCCTTGAGTCAGATCCTCTCTCTCCTCTGCTCAGAGCCTCTCGTGACTTCCCATCTGGCTCAGAGTAAAAGCCGAAGTCCTTAGCTTGGCCTCCCAGGTCCTCCCAGTAGGTCCCGGCTGCCTCACTAACCTCATCTCCTGCCTTGTTCTCCCTCCACACCCTCTGTTCTGGCCACACTGGCCTCCCTGTTGTGCCTCAGACATCATCCGAGGTGCTCCTACCTTGGGGCGTTTGCGCTTGCTCTCCCTTCTGGGCTGGGACCCTCTCCCATGTCTCCACGTGGCCTGCTCCCTTGCAACTGCGGTCTCCCCTCACTGCTGACCACCCTATCTGCAACAGCCCCTCCTCTGCCTGGCAAAACAAAGTCATGCGGAATGAGCGAGGCTGTTTTCCCCCAGGCCACCTCCCTAGAGGAGCTGCTGCCCTGAGAGGCCCAGTGGGGACCCTGTGCTCCGCATTCGGACTCCTTATGGGACATTCACTCTCCCTGTCCGTCTCCTGCAGGTGAGAAGCCCTACAAGTGCTCAGTGTGCGAGTCTGCATTCAACCGCAAGGACAAACTGAAGAGACACATGCTGATCCACGAGCCCTTCAAGAAATACAAATGCCCCTTCTCGTGAGTAGAGACGGCCATGGAGGGGGGCAGGGAGGGGGACAGGGTCCTCAGAGGGATCCCCAGGGAAGTTGGGACAGAAAGTCAGGCCTGAGGGTAGAAGGCCTCTCTCCTTTTATCTCTGGGCCCTGCCGACCTCACTCTCCATCCTACTTCCTTGCCCAACCCTTAGGGTAGACAAGGGTGTCCCTCATGCCCAGGAATATCAGAGGGGCCAGCAAGAGGGTCCTAAGCTTGGGGAGCTCCCCTTGACCGTGGCTTTGGGTTTTAGGGCACACACAGGCTGCAGTAAGGAGTTCAACCGGCCGGACAAGCTGAAGGCTCACATCCTCTCCCACTCTGGTAAGGGGCGCGTGGGCCTGCCGGGAGGGTCTGGTTCAGCTCCAGTTCCCCGGGACAGACCCTCCAGGAGGAGAAAGAGCAGATACATCCCATGAGGCTTATTTTCTTTGCATGGTGCATTCCAGCCAACAGACTCTCGCTCATGTGGTCTATAAGCTAGGCCTTTGCTGGGAACCTTAGGGTGAGATGAATCAGACACGGTCCCCCAGTCCAAGGAGGAAGCTGAGATAACTAAACCAGAGCAGTGCCCAGTCTGATGGAGTGTGGATCAGGGATCAGATTCCAACCAGGTCTGGATCTGGCCAAGCAGGTGCCTCGCAGTAGGGCAGAGCAGGGTCTATTGCCCAGGCTAGAGTGAGTGCCGTGGCATCAGCCTAGCTCACAGAAACCTCAAACTCCTGGGCTCAAGCGATCCTACTGCCCCAGCCTCCCGAATAGCTGGGACTACAGTCATGTGCCACCATGCCCGGCTCATTTTCTTTATATATATTAGTTAGCCAATTAATTTCTTTCTATTTATAGTAGGGACGGGGTCTTGCTCTTGCTCAGGCTGGTTTGGAACTCCTGACCTCGAGCAATCCGCCCGCCTTGGCCTCCCAGAGTGCTAGGATTGATTACAGGTGTGAGCCACCACGCCTGGCCTAATTTTTTCTATATATATATATTAGTTGGACAATTAATTTCTTTGTATTTATAGTAGAGACGGGGTCTCATTCTTGCTCAGGCTGGTTTCAAACTCCTGACGTTGAGCAATCCACCTGCCTCGGCCTCCCAGACTGCTAGGATTACAAGTGTGAGCCACCACGCCTGGCCATGCCATTTGGTTTTGCACAGGGTTTTTCAACCCTGCCACCAATGACATTTTGGGTCAGATAATTCTGTCATAGGGGGCTGCCATGTGCCCTGTAGGATGTTTAGCAGCATCCCTAGTTACCCACTAGGTGTCAGTGGCACTCCTCCCCCCAACACATTGTGACAACCAAAAATGTCTGCAGGCATTGTCAAAAATCCTCTAGGGGTACAGTCACCCCTGTTTGAGAACTGCTGGTTTACAGAAAGGATTCAGTGGCTAAAGGAAGTTTGAAAACTGGGAGAGTAGATCACAGACTTGGAGACAGAGGGCCTGGGGTTGAGTCTTGGTGCTGCCATGTTCCTGCCGGGTGGCCTCAGGCAAGTCACTACCCCTCTCTGAGCCTCCATCCCAAGGAGGCTGAGGGGCCTGAAGGCATTTGTGAAAGGTACCTGGTCCAGATTGAGTGTGGACTAGAGCTGACTTCATGGGAGTCCTGGAGGCACCAGTGATTCATTCAGTGAGTGACTCTTGGGAACTGACCAGGTGTCAGGCTGTGGGTGTGCTGGGAGAGCATCAGGCAGGCCGAACCCTACTCTGCCCTCTTGGGGAAGCTTAACATATTTAGTGCAGGCGACTGAAAATAACCCACGGATGGATGAATACATAACAGCAAGGTACACTCAATGCAATGACAGAAATAAACACAGGGATAGGCGGAGCATGAAGGTGCAGGCATCAGGGAAGTCCTCCTGAGAAGGTGACAGGACACCTGAGTCTGGAGGGATGAGAAGGAAATAGCTTTCTAGGGTGAGGGCTGGCCTCAAGGCAGGGAGGGACTGGGGGAATGGGCAGAGAGGGGAGATGGGGCTGAGAGGTGAAGGGCATGGTCATACAGTACCATGCTTGTGGGAAACTTGGAGAACCAGTCGGGGGTTTGCACAGGGAATGTCATGATTGTGTGTGTGTGTGTGTGTGTGTGTGTGTTACAAAGACGTCTCTAGCCGCCCTGTGGGGACTGGTCTGAAGGGCCCAGGGTGAGACAGGCAGACCAGTGAGGAAGTTACTGCCCTGTCATCCAGGTGAGAAAGTCAGCCAAGGTTTAGAGATTGAGTGGAGAGAGAACAGCAAGTGCAAAGGCCCGGGGGCAGGACCCAGTGTGGTGCGTGAGAGGAGAGTGAGCATGGCCAGCACAGAGCGAGTGGCTGGGAGACGGTAGATAAGTGTGGAGGACACTCCAGCGAGATCCCACAGATGCTCGCAGGGCAAGAGACTGGATCCCAGTGCAGGGCAGTGTGGCAGCGTGAGGTGTGGGGTGCTTCTCACTGACTTCCCCTCGTCCCCCAGGCATGAAGCTCCACAAATGTGCCCTGTGCAGCAAGTCCTTCAGCCGCCGTGCCCACCTCACCGAGCACCAGCGCGTCCACACTGGCAACTACAAGTTCCGCTGTGCTGGCTGTGCCAAGGGCTTTTCTCGCCACAAATACCTCAAGGATCATTGCTGCCACCTTGGCCCCCAAAAAGACAAGGACCTGCAAGCCCGGCGGCCCCCCCGGAGGAGGGCAGCTCCCCGCAGTAGCAGCAGTGGTGGGTGCAAGGTAGTGACCCCCTTGCCTGACCCGCTGGGGCTGGAGGAGCTGAAGGACACAGGGGCTGGGCCAGTGCCTGAAGCTGCCCCAGGCAAGCCACCCTTCGCAGAGCCGGATGCTGTGCTGTCCATTGTAGTGGGTGGCACGGTGGGCGGAGAACCTGAGCTGGTGGTGCCTGGACATGCTGAAGGGCTGGGCTCCAACCTGGCACTGGCAGAGCTGCAGGCTGGGGCCGAGGGCCCCTGTGCCATGCTTGCTGTGCCTGTCTACATCCAGGCTTCAGAGTGACAGACCTGGGATGTGTGCTCCCACGGGCTGGCCTGATGCTTACGATTGAGCCCAGGGCTTCTGGGGGAAGACAAGAGATCCTTCCCAATGGAAGTGAGCCATTTGCGGAAGTCCTTTTGAATGTCATTCATAAACCTTGGCCTGTGGCCGCTCTCCTGTGTCCGTCCTGCTGGAAAGCCCTGCAGCATTCTGGGATCTAGGGCAGGACTGCCTGTGGTTTCTGGATGGAGTGATGGCAAGAGAGATGGTTGGAGCCTGAGCAGCCCAGGGTTACCTTAGAGAGAAGACAGGATGGTCCCACCTACCCCTCCTCCAGGCTGCCTGGGGGTGGCCTCTAGTCAGCTGCTCTGCGGGAGGCCTGACATGGTCGGAGTCCTATCCTTATCTGTTGGACCTTTTAACAGACGGTTCCTCACAGTGTCCTCAGACAACTCTGCGATGTAGGCTTTCAGGAGACACTCAAGTATTGTGGCTAGAGTGCAGCTATGAGCCAAATCTGGCTTCAAATCCAAGAGTTGCCACACACTTGCTGTGTGATCTTAGGCAGGTCACTTCACCTCTCTGAGCCCCGTGTTCCTCATCTGTACAATGGGGCTTATGATAGTACTACCTCATAGGGTTGTCATGGGGACCCAGTATGATGAAGTGTGCAAAGAGCTTGGCATGGTGCCCAGCATTCAGAAAGTGCTCAATAAATGTTTTTATCACGTGTGTCCGAACGGCTTGGCTCAAACCATAGCAGTTTTTTTCTTAGCCCCTAGGTGGCAGCACTCCTCCTTAAAGCATGTGAGGGCTCAGGGGATCCCATGGTCCCTTGCACACTGATAGCCATGAGGAGGTCATAAAGGTAGGAGCAGGTTTGGTGTTCTAGAACAGTTATTACAGAACATGGTCCATAGGAACATCCGGGGAAAGGGGTTTACACTTGCTTGTGAAAATTCTGAATCCTGGGCCTCACCCCAAACCCTTAAGCATCAAGCTCTGACCAGAGTCAGAAGTCCCTCAAGTGGGTGGGTGTCTGTGTGCACTGATGCCCCTACATGTAGCACTCCCCTCCACCTCCCTAGCTCCTCCAGGTGGGAAGCAGGAAGGAGAAAAGGGGCCTGGACCAATGTTTCCCCAGGTATCTTCGCAGCCACTCTTCTGGGCCACACTGCCTCCATTACGTGGCAGGGAGGTCTGATTCAGGTTGATGGACTGAATGTCTTTGAAGGCTGGCATGTCCCTCAGACATCTGTGTTGGGACCCAAGGCTGGAGCTCAGAGCCAGGCCCGACTTCCCACATGCTCAGGAAGGGTATAGTGCGGCAATAGGGACAGTGGATGGGGTTGAGGTCTTTCAGTATACCAGCCTGCAAGAAGGCCAGAGGGGGACTGATGGGGACAGGAAGTCTCAGAGGGGATGCTATTTGGGCTGGGCCTTGGCACGGAGTGCTTTGATGGATGGGCAGATAGGGGAAGGCATGCCAGGTAAGAGCAAGGCACGAGCAAAGACCCTGAAGTGTGACAGTGCAGAGCCAGTTGTGTTCTGGGGCCATGGTGAACACCCTGGATGGTCCAGGGTGACCAGAGGTTTTGGAGTAGGTGGATAATGATAATTGCTGATTCTTCAAGTCTTCTCCACGTGATGGACAGTGTCACATTGCCTCAGCCTACCAGGTCAGTGCTGTTACTTTCCTTATTTTACAGTTGAGGAAACGTAGGCACAGAGAGGCAGAGTTCCTTGCCCA